GAGAGAAATAATAATTAGAGATGATCTCATTACACACACACATCTTTTTTGCATGTAAGGGTTAACTTCACTTAAATTCTTAAATACACAAGAATTGATAAAATAGATGATATAATTATAATATTACGAAAATGGTAAATCATTGATATGTAAAATGTTTGTATTTTTTTTTCTCTGAATAGAGCATCTATCTGTTCAATCATAACTTCTGCATTCCCACATCCGTACTAGTAAACATATCGAATTTTGTTTTCTTAGATAGAGAGCTGCCATGAGCCTCCAGTTTTAGGAATTTATTTCGAGCGGAATTGATGAAGTTAGAGGGCTGGTTTTGCTGAGCTTTTTTTTTACAAATATTGCTCATCATATTTTGTCTAAACGAAAATACATTGCGAGAACTTGGATAACGGTCCTCATTTGGTCAACATATATAGTGATACGCAGACAGTCTGCTTTCGAAGCCACCTGGGAGCTGTATGAAGTGATAAGCACAGAGTTTCCTCAATTCACCTTGAGGACAAGGTGAATTTCCGGGGGGGTATTGATAGGCAACTGTGCATAAGGTCTACACACTTAAGGGCTATTAAGCATTAAGGGTAGTAGTTAAAAGAATATGGTCCATGTGGCTGGTGTGTGATGTGGGTGTGGAGAATTGTGTGAATGAGGGGTATTTTGTGGGATACTTAGTATATATTGTTGAGATTAGGCAAGACAGGGTTAAGCGTTTTTTAGAGTAACCAATGGAGGTCCCTTGTCCCGAAATGTAGGATTATCCGGCACTGTTCTATTTCTTTTCTTCCAAATGTTGATTTCCAGTTTACTTGATTAATACACATATTGAGGTTATTTCAGAATTTTTATTTTCAGTCTTTTCTTGTGTGTGTGAACTTATTTGCAGGTAGTCCTATCAAAATTCTAACAGGATTGTAAATTTCCCAGTGAATCTGGTTTCATGGCATTCTCATTGTTAGACTTGAATGGTTGGCTTTAATATTGACAATCTCGTGGTGAAGTTGCCTATTCTAATTGTTTGTATAAAGGGTCGTTTGGTATTGTTTCTTCGGATAGAGTTAGGAATTAGAGTTTATAGAAATCGAATTTTTGATAAGTTTTATAAAAAATGTTTTCAAATATTTTTCATATGTACATAACCAGAAAACAGTGAATTTTTATAAATCTAATTCCATCTACTATAATCAATATATACTTTAATTAAAGAAACAGTATCAAACCGACCCTATAAATGAGGAAATGAAAATGTTCAGCTTCAAGTGTATATAGAGTTCAAGGCCAGCCATTCCAATATATATCACCAAACTTAATGTAAACACAAGCAGATAAGCAGGTATCCACTTATCATTTTTCAACCCCACAACTTACTTTTATACTTTACCAACTTTTCCCTGATTAATTGATAATTGTTCATTAAATACGTACACTCTGACGGTTAATTGAGAGAACGAAGTTAAAAGATAAATTTTCCCTTAACGTCAATTCAACGATTCTTTTATTTATTGAATTGTATAAATAAGAAACATTAGTTATTAGGTAGTGTAAGAATTTTTAAGTCAAAAAATTGAATTTAACATATCTCTACCACATATAATTATACATGTATACAACAAAAAGAAAAAATTGTCCAATATAAAAAAGTTAGAAGAAGATTTGAAAAACCAAAGGGTGTCTATGAAACTCTTGCAGAAAAAGAAAAAGAAGAATGTGATGTAACGTAGCAAATTGTAACACCACCCTTCACCTTCAGTCAAAAAGAAGGATTCTAAAGGAGGATTGAATATCTTCTTTAATAGTGCTTTAGAATGGAGTTTAAATTACGCAAAGGATAACTAAAGAGAAAAAGAAATTAAAAATAAACCAAAAATCATGTACCTTTCATTCGAAATCCACAAACTAATCTGGATTTGGATAAAAAGAACTATTCTAAATATGGAAAGAAGAGAAATAGAGATTAATTTATATAATATATGTAATGCATGTCTATAATATAATTGTGCTTAGGTTCTTTACTTTCATCTTTGAGCTTGGGATGATATTTTATAATAAAGTTATTAACACAAGAAAGATCCATGCTATAAATATAATCTCATTGGCACTTACTCCATTTTCACATGATTTAATCCTGTAAACGATCCTCCAAACATTCACTCTATCCAGTATCGACAACCATTTCTTAATTCACAAATCAACCAGCTGCTCCATTTGCTTCACAATTTTCAGGTGCAACTTATACTTTTAATTTTTATTTTTGTATTGTGGAATTATTGGATCTCTTGTATTTGCACTAGTCTTTTTATTTCTAGTCCTCATGGTAGTAGTCTTTAATTAATTCTGTAAAAGGAATTATCATGTTGCCCATATCTACCAAACACATTTTCATAAGTTTTTTTTATCCTTTATTTTTTTTTAAAATAAAAATTCTTTCTCATATTCACATTTCACTGTTTATATATATGACTCTCTGTTATCCTGTAGTTGTACTTCAGATTTGTAAAAAGAGCCTCCAAACCTTGATTGCAACAAGTTGTTAATTTGACACCCAAAATCAACCAGCTGCTCCATTTGCTTCACAAGTTTCAGGTGCAAACTTATCTTCTTATTCATTAATCTTTATTATCATCTTGTATTGGATCTCTCTTTAGTTTGAACTAGTGCTGTTTTTTGTTTCTAGCTAGTTACTTGGTAGTCTTTTGTGTTATGGTAATTTGCATAAACACCCACAGAAAATAAACACAGAAAAATAAAATATACCCTTTTGGAATATTTTACTATATGTTATCAAGTCATTATATTTCATTAAAAAGGATTTGCCTTTATTTAACCAGCATCCATCAAAGAACCTTATCCATTTTCATGCAAGTTAGTTTGTGTTGATGATGAGGAAATGCTCTAGATAGTTGCATATTAAGACCTTGACACAATTGAATATTTCTCTTAGAAATTATATGTTTTAAAGAGCTTAGTGAAGTAATCTGTATGTTGATGATGAGTTTTACTATTTATAAACGCTATTTATTTGAAGAATGCTTTTATTTAATACAAGAATATTTTCATATGTATTTAATTACTACCTATGGTCTTGTGAACTTTTACATTACTAAACTATATATATTTTAAATAAAAAAGTGTATTTTTAATTTAAAATATTAATAGTGTTTTTCAAACCATCAGACAAAGTAGCCATCCCCTAGAGTTCAATATATGACTCTACATATTATAGATATGGCCCATTGCATGCTCATGTCGACAGATTTGGTTTTCCCCATAGAAACTAGTTTGGTTTAGTTTTATAATGATAGTTAAATAATGAAATGAGTTGATACTGTTGTGGGTATTTAATCGATGCTAGCAAATTCTAAATCTCAGAAAAGGGAAAATAAAGCGAACAAATGAGAAATAAATAAACCAGACACATAAACACAAGATTTATAATAATTTACTCTCTGTACGAGAGCTATATCCACTTTACAGCTGCAGAATTTTACTATAAAAAAAAAGAAAAATTACAAGAGTATCTTACAAATGTCACAAATTGGCTTTCTCACTAAATCTCTTTTTAGTGGCTCCCACTCTCTAATTGTGGTTTTGTCCTCTTGGTAGTCTTTTGTATTATGGTAATTTCATAAACACCCTTTGAAACACAGAAATAAACACTTGACCCTCCATCAACTTTAAATTAAAATACAATTGTGATGCCTTCTGTTAGTTTTAGTCCTTAAGTTGGACGATTGACTGGAGTTACCTTTTGAAAAGACCATATTACCCCTGAAGATTTATTAGATAAATTTTTAATTTCAATATTTCTTCATTTTGGTAAAAAACATAAAAAAGATCTTTAAGAGTATGATTTTTTTTTTTTTGTAAAAAAAATGTCTTCTAAAATATCAATTGAAGAAAACTTTTAAAAATCTAAAGAAATTAAATATTAAAAAAATGAATTTTTTTTTTTATTTTGAAATATTTTAAAAAATCTTAAAAAATTGATAAAAATTGAATAGGATTATCACTGAGATAGATTACCTTGAAGATTAATAAGAGAATGTTATATCAATATGTTTGGCTAGATGGTAAGTAAATAATTAAATGTTTGGTTGGGAAGAATAAAATATTAAGGAGTGGTTTTTTACCGAATTGCTTTTCCTTTTTAAATATTATTATTTAGAGCATTACTTTTAACCCTTATATTTGAGATATTAGCTAAAACACCCTAACAATAAAAGTTTAAATTTAACACAATGCACCTAGCCACCTAAGACAACCGTTGACTGTCAGCCACCATAGTTGGCATCCGTCGAAACAACGCATGACCAATAGATTGGCCGGTCGTACACCGATCTGGTTGTTTTCGACCAGATCGAAGGACAGAAACGGCAAGATCCATTTTGGCCATTAATGTCCAAAATATGGGCATTAATGGCTGTGCATCTGGCTAAAAATGGTCAGATCTATTTTGGCCATTAACAGGCAAATCTGTGGTCGTTTACAAATAGCAAAATCCATGGCCATCTGGTCTTTTCGGCCTTTTGGCCAAATCGGCGCGCGTGGTCGAATAGATTGACCGGTTGTGCACGTTCCCATGGCGGCCTACAGCTGTGGCTGACAGTCGACAAGTTTTGGATGGCTAGGGGTATTTTGGGTATTTCATGTAAATAGTGAAGGATATAATGATACTATACGACAATGGTAAATCATTTGATATGTAAAATGTTTGTATTTTTTTCCTCTGAATAGAGTATCCATTTGTTCATACCAAACTTCTGCATTCTCACGTCTGTACTTAGTAAGCATATCGATTTTGTTTTCTCAGATAGAGAGCTAGACCATGACCTGGCAGGGAGTTAGGAAATTTTATTTCGAGCGGAATTGATGAAGTTAGAGGGCTGGTTTTGCTGAGCTTTTTTTTACAAATATTGCTCATCATATTTGGTTCTAAACGAAAATACATTGCGAGAACTTGGATAACGGTCCTTATTTGGTCAACATACATGACGGCGGATCCGGTGGCAACTTTTGCTCTAGGCAACATTGCTCGAAGCCCAGGAGATTCTACAGGTAATAATTCTTCAAAATCAATGGAACTCGAAGCATTTTGGGCGCCATTCCTTCTCTTGCATCTTGGTGGCCCAGATACTATCACTTCTTACTCAAGAGAAGACAACGAGTTGTGGTCAAGGCGCCTTCTTGAGTTTCTTTTTCAAGTTGTAACAGCAATTTATGTATTTATGCGGTCCTTGAGAAAACACCCTCTCTCACTTTTAGCTATTCCTATGTTGATCACTGGAATTCTCAAGTATGGAGAGAGGACTTTGGTGCTCAAGCTTTCAAGTGCCAAAAAACTTAAAGATTCTTTGTACCCGGCTCCCGATCCTGGTCCAGATATTCTTGGACGTGATACAGTACTCGACATGGATACTGTTACACAAATGGGGACAAGCACTGATTTGGTACCAGTAAGAATTGAAAAAAGTGAATGCAGCAACCCCAAAGACGATTATTTGGCTTCTCATTTTTTATTCAAGAGATTTAGGTATCTCTTTGCCGACTTAGTTCTTGGTTATCACGAACAAAAGGAGAGCTATGACATAATTCGGATAAGGTCAGCAGCAGAAGCCTTCAAATTGGTGGCAATTGAGCTTGGATTCATGTATGATGTGCTCTACACCAAGGCAACCATAGTTTATTCCAAATTCGGGATCCTTCTTCGTTGCATCTACCTCTTCTCTCATATTTTTGTATCAGTTTTCTTCTTAATCATCATTCAGAAGCATGCCTATCCAACAATAGACGTCTGCATAACTTGTGTACTCCTCTTTGGGGCTGTTGTTCTGGAGATCTTTTCATTCATCGCACTAGTTCTTTTCTCCGACTGGTCAAAACTTTGGTGGACCAAGCTCAAAAACGCAAAACGTGTTTCTACATCCTGTTGTAATTGTTTACTTGCGATCAATAGTAAGAGGTGGTCGAGATCAATGGGTCAGAAAAACCTAATAAGTTATTGCCTTGAACGTGTATCCGTGAGGAGTTTTCAAAATGTATTTGGCATCAACGAACTCTGGAGCTTGACTTGGAAAGATGTCAATGATGATTTGCAGGAATTCATCTTCAAGCAGCTATTAAATAAAGGCAAGAAAATTGAAGAGGGCGGTTTCACTGTCGAGCTATGCAAAGAATTCTTGGCTCAGAGAGGAGATTATGCGCTTAGTGAAAGGTTCTGTCTTGATGAATTTCGTTGGAGCACACTTGATGTGGAGTTTGACCATAGCCTTCTTCTTTGGCACATTGCAACTGATCTTTGTTATTACAGCGATTTCAATGAGGACGATCCCGATAATCTTCATCCCAAATGTAAGATCATTAGCAAATATTTATCAGATTACATGTTGTATCTGTTAATCATGTGTCCAAATATGTTGCCCAAAGGATTTGGTGAGATGAGATATAGAGATACATGTGCTGAGGCTGTAAGATTTTTCCAAAAAACTGTTTCTAGAGCGTCTCATAGAAGTGATAAATCCTCTAAAATAAGAAAAGCTTGTAGGAACATTCTTCAAGTCAACACCGATTCCTCACTAGAAAGAAAGAAAGGAGATAAAAGTAAGTCAGTTCTATTTTTTGGATGTAGGCTTGCTAAGCAATTGCAAGCACTGGAATTCGAAGAGGATGGGATGAATAATATTGAAGAAAAATGGGAGATGATAAGTGAATTTTGGGTGGAAATGTTGGCATATGCTGGAAGTCTTTGTGAATGGAAAGAACACGGTCAACAGCTTAGGAAAGGTGGAGAGTTGATTACTCATGTTTCTCTTCTTATAACACATCTCGGCTTAAGTGAAAAATATCAAGTCAGGTCGCGGTACTTCAATTTTTCTTAAAAAGATGAATGAATATATTTCTCTTCTCCTCATTAAATTATTTCAGAAATTGGACGGATGTATGCACGTTTTGCTTGATCTTTTGTATAATCCTCTTAAGTTGTATGTTATTTCATTTGACAATCTTGTACAGATGAGATTAAGTAGTAATATGTAATAAATCTTAATTATCAAAGCTTCAAGGATTATTTTGGTTGCTTGGTACTATTCCCCCTTTAGGTTGGATGAAGGTTAAAATACAGATGGCTTATCGAAAGGTAATCCCGATTTATCTGCTTGTGGAGGTATTTTGGATATCAGGGCTCTTATTGGTTGTTTAATTTTCTATGAGATTGGGTATCTGGAGTGCTTTCTTTGCTGAGATGTTGGCTGTGATTATTGTTATTGAAATTGCCTCATCTAAGGAGTGGTTGTCAGTTTGGTTAGATTGTGACTCAGTTTCTGTTGTGTATTGTTTGCTTAATCCTAACTACCAACCTCCATGGAAACTCTATGTCGCTGGAATAATTGTCGCTCTATATCATGCAATGTATCAGGATACTGGCTTCGAATTGTTATCGAGAAGGTAATTGAGTGGCTGAGTACTCCACAGCAAACCTTTGATTGCAGTTTTCAATTCTTCAATGGTGTGACGAATCTCCTTCGCAAATTAAGTCTTTTAGTTTTTCATGATTGTGATAAGTACTTAATTTTTTCGAATTTGTTTTTGCTTAATGTCACGTATGAATTTTTTTTTTTTTTTTTATTTCGATTTTTTTATTTCATGCATTTTCCTTTAAACTTTATTGTATTTAGCTTTTTAAAAGGTTAAGACCATGGATTTGGTTGGAAACAGTCAAATCGGCACACGACTAGCCAAATTTGGCCAGTCGTGTGCTGTTCTAATGACTGCAAGCTATCATCTGGCAGTAGTGACTAGTGGTTGACTGTCCTCTTACAAGGCTAGAGTGCTTTAATTAATTTTTAAATTTTTATTATGGAAGTATTTAGCTAAATTAACAAATATATAAGGTTAAAAAATAATTTAAAATAACAATAATAAATATTAATATAAATAATAATATTAAAATAGAAAGATAATTCAGTGATCTATATAATATATCCACCAATTTAGTTCTTCAAGGTAATCTATATTTTTATTAATATAGCATTCCCTAAACCAAATACACCCTAAATATCATATTGTAGTTGGAAGAAGCATTGAATTGTAACCTTAATTTTATTCTTGTTAATTTTTTTTTTCTTCCTAATGATAAAAAAGAAATTATACATAACAAAAAGGACACTAATATTGAGATCTAAAATTTCTAATTCCTTTTATGTTTTCTTAGAAACCAAACAAAGGGCATCAAAATCACCCAAAAAAGTATTTCAATTTAAAATCGACCATATTATTCAATCAACTTCCCTCAAAATACACACATCCAACATCACTGAAGCTTCTAATCAAAACAATTTCACCCCCAAAATTATAATTTTGAAAAAAAAAAAAAAAAAAAAAAACTCACTTACTCTTCAACAAACCGACACTGAAATCCAACAAGAAACAACAAAAGCCAAAAACCTTACAGCACAAAACTAAAAACAAAGCAATACCTTACATCATTCAATGTAAAAATAAAAATAAAAATTTCCATAAGACTTTTTACCTGCACTGCAGCACATTTTTCTCTCCAATTTCTCCCCCCTCTCTTCCTTTTTTTTCCCTAACTTTATTTAATGAAAATAATGATATAAAAAAGTTTAAAAAGAGAAGGGCATAAACAAATGAAAAATGTTACGTTTACAACTTAATCTCATAATCTTCTCTTACAGCCTTAACGTGTCACCATATTGACATTGTCATGTCAGTTCTCACCACACCCAAGGCACCCAAGACACTACAAGAAAAAAACGGTCGTTCCTTATGAAGGAACAATCATGATTGTTCCTTCCCTTGTTTCTCTCTCGACACTCTATCAATTCCCTTCTTCTTCTTCTTCTCCTATGAAACAACCTTGTTCCTAAGGGATCTTCTTCTTCTTCTTCTTCTTCTTGGAACAATGTTGCCCAAATGCAAGATCATTAGCAAACATTTATCAGATTACATGTTGTATCTGTTAATCATTTGTCCAAATATGTTGCCCAAAGGACTTGGTCAGATGAGATATAGAGATACATGTGCTAAGGTTGTAAGATTTTTCAAAAAAAGTGTTTCTAGAACATCATAGAAGTGATAAATCCTCTAAAATAAGAAAAGCTTGTTGGAACATTCTGTAGATCAAAACCGATTCCTCACTAGAAATAAAGAAAGGAGATAAAAGTAAGCCAGTTCTATTTTTTGGATGTAGGCTTGTTAAGCAATTGCAAGCACTGGAAGTCGAAGATGATGGGATGAACAATATTGAAGAAAAATGGGAGATGATAAGTGAATTTTGGGTAGAAATGTTGGCATATGCTGGAAGTCGTTGTGAATGGAAAGAACATGTTCAATAGCTTAGTAAAGGTGAAGAGTTGATCACTCACGTATCCCTTCTTATGACACATCTTGACTTAAGTGAAAAATATCAAGTCACATTGCGCTACTTTATTTCTAAAGTTAATGAAGGAAATGTAAGATATAAAAATTATTTTTTAATGAAATAACCATATGTTAATGAATGATATTGTTCATTTAAGCCCAGATGTGCCATAAAAAGACATATATGAGTGAACAACTCTCCACCTTTAATAAGTTGTTTCCCATGGTTTTTCCATCCACAATTAGTTGCACCATATGTCAACATTTCTATCCGTAATTCAGATACCATCTTCCATAATCGTTCATGGCTCCAACCATATCAACTAGATTTCAGTTGTTGCAATTGCCTCGCTAGTCCACTTTCATAATATAGCATAGGTAAACTTTTTACCTGCCTCATTTTTTGCGCTTGCACTAGGAACGTGGCTCAAATCAAGCATTACACTGCAGGCTTCACTTTTTAAAATACTAGACATATTTGGCCACTTCATTTTTGTTGCATGAAAAATCAAAACAGCCGCACAAGTTTCCTTGTATCTTATTCCACCAATATCCCTTTAGGCAACATGATTGGACATATGACTAAAAGATACAACTTGTAATTTGACAACCATTTGCTAATTTTACAATGTATAGGAATTTCATTATCATTTGCATGGTCAGCATAATCAGCATGATAGATAAGTCAGTGGCAATGTGTCAAAATAGAAGACTTTGATCAAAATCTACCTCAATTGTACTCCAACAAAATTCATCAACACTAACATTTTGGCTAGCGCATTATGACCTCTCTCAGCTAACATATCTTTGCATAGCTTGATATCAAAACAGTTTTCTTCAATTTTCTTGCTTGTGCTCCCCTAAAAATAATAGAAAAAAGTAATTTGAGTTACTTAACTAACAGATCATGGAAGGGGCATACCGCTTTTCCTTCTTGTCCTCGATCAATGTTGCCCCTGCACTTGAGTCCATAGATACAGAACTGAAGCCCTGTATTCAAACATCACATTCTTCCTGTCGATTTTATTTTTCAAGGCAAAATATTACAATTTAAATGCTATTAAAAGAGACTCCAACAAGAATACAAAGGCCCAAACCTGCATATTGCTTCAATTTATAATTGCAACATCTCCTTGAGTTGTATGTCTTCATGTCAACCAATCACAAGGTGAGAAGATAAAAGTTTTCATGTTAGTATACACAAAATGTCTTCATGCAGTAAAAGCTAACAAAAGTTTATACATAGGGAGGAGCTTGCCATCGCCTGAAACATTGAAGGACAAAAAAGGCTCCTGGCAACTTGCATCAACCATATCCACTTCCAAGAGCTAATGTTCCATGTCACAATAGTTCCACCCTTGTCTATGTAAACTATAAAAGTTAATGATGGTTAGTGCTTAAAACAGTGAAGTGGATAAGAGCATTTTTAGCAAGAAAAAGGACGGATGGCTTCTGAATACTGAAAATTCACCTGCTATTGCAGCAGTGTAAAGAACACAATTCTGATCATTAGATGGAGAGAATCTACAGCAAGCCAAAACTCATCCTGTATGAATTTAAAAATGCGTGTAGTTAATTTGGAGCCCATGTAAAAGAGAATCAATTCTAATAAACAAAAATAAAGGCCAAATAAGAGAAGGCTTGAAGATTTTCCTAAAAGAGAATCTCTCTAGTATGTAAGGATGAAGTAGACATAAGTTCATGATACTTCTTGCTGTTGTTCAGATAGGAGCAACTATTAATAATATGATCTGCTTTTGGCCGTTGTTTTTTAAGAAAAAAACAAAATAGTGAACAACAACATGCACCACGACACATTTAGCAACAATTTTGTTAGATCTCCTTAACAAGAGGTAGCTTCATTAAATTGACCAGGATTGAGCTACGCCACCAAAAGCTAAGAAAACAAATGGTTTACGTAATATATTTATATGAATCATTGCTTACATTTTCCTTTGGTAGAGAAGCTACAACAGAAGTGGAGGTTACATCCCAAGCCCTACCTGGGCCACGATTTCCCAAGGAGACAAGAGATTTTCCATCAGGGCTGCAAGAAAACCAAGCCAAACCATCAGTAGAACTAGATAAACAATAACAAAGCAGTGAATTCATTTTCTTTTCATCGATCTTGCAGGTCAAGGCGTTGACACTTTAATTAATTTCTTAACAGAAGTATGACCTTCAGACACATTAAGAACAATTCCCAAGCTAGGCCACTTTAAAACCCGTAATTTTCCATCCTGCACCGCACCAAAATCTAAGCATCTTATACCATGTTATTGTGTTAGAAAAAGACAACAATGTGGTCTTACTTATCATTTCTCCACACCATAACTAAAGCCAAAACCATAGAATATGTTTAGAGAATCATTAAGATCTAGGTACAAAATACTTGGGGTTTGAATTATAGGTGGGCATACATATCTGATATCCAGGTACGAAATACTTGGGGTTTGAATTATAGGTGGGCATTCATATCTATTTCTGGAATACAGAGTCATGAAGCATAGCTTATCCCAATAAACAATAGATTAAATCTTCCTTCTAGCTATGGTTCACCAATAGGAAAGACTAGAAAGAACAGTAGACATTTGAGGTAGACATATTACAAGGCTCTTGGGCGTGTATCTACCCTATGGAGTAGAAAAGGGTGAAGCATACCAAAAAGATAAATGGAAAAGAAAACCCTAAAGTCCATGCAGCAAATGTATCCCAAAAGAAAAGGGGTAGGATCCTACCTCACTGGCAGGAGCAAGAAAAGAACCCTTATAATATAAACTATTTTATAATTCATATTGTTTAATACAACCAAACTTCAAGAGATGGTATTGAAGTAAATTCCAAATGCTTTTGAGACCAAATTCCTTCACAAGAAGCTATATAATTTGAGAATAGATGGAACATTGAAGAGGAGGACTCAACAGAACATTATCCAACATGCAACGAAATGAAATCTCCTACTGGGTTCCAATAATTTGTGGTGAACCCAAATAGGGACAGTTAGATTATCTATTTGTGATCCAAAAACCATTTTCAAAAACTAAGATACAATTCATATTTTCCAAATCTAAAACACGTTTGACAGTTCAAAATTGTTTTTTTTTTTTCTTGGTAAATGGAAATAGTATAAAGAATGAAAGAATGAGACCCCAAAAAGAGAGTCTCTACAAGAGTTTATGCGTCCTAGACATTCCCAGGAACCAAACAAAAAACGGCAGTAGCAAAAATACAAGCATTTACAATCCTGAAAACCACTATAGAAGGATCAAGGGGATTTGTAACAGAGACTGTTATCAGCAATATTGAAAAATTAGTAACATCGTCAGAATAGAGAAAGGTAATTTCTGTAAATTAAGACCAAAAAAAGAAAAAAAAAAAAAAGAAGTGAAAAGGCAAAGTTCAATCTACAATGTCTTGAGAAAAGTAAATCAGTATATTAAGTCATCAATGTACCTGTAACCAAATACAAGACATATAAACAGGGAGAAAGTGTTCCAAACATCTAAATCATAGCTCATTAAACACAAAAATCAACAGGATTTTCAGGATCCACAGTATCGAACACCTCAAATGTGAAAGGTCTTACTTCAATACTATTTGTTGGCGCCCATCTGGGATTGCAAACAGAACAACGGGCTTTGAAGGTCTAGTGAATGGGACATCACATCTGTAGTAGCCCTTCCTCTCCAGCTGCAAAATCTCTCCATGTTTTAGATTCTGCATGTTACAATCTCCAATTGCTGGAGTCTCAATCTTTGTCCGTGGGTTGAGCACATCAAGGAAGTCCTCCCCTCTTCTAGCTGCGTCCACAATGGTAAGAAGCATGAATCAATATGTCAATTCATTTTTAGTACACTAGCTAAAACAAGTATATTTATGGATTATATGACGAATAATACAAATAATTCGATTAACTAATAACTTCACATTAATGCAAAAATACTGCAGGAATATAGAGTTTATAACAACAAAAATAACGCAATGAAAAGTTCTGATTATCAGTTTATTCAGTGTACCTTCTTCTTCGTGATTAAAGGGTCAAATCTCATCAATGTGAGGTTAAATAATTCATTGTTTCAGGTTTCGAATGTCAGCTTCAACTTTGTGGTCTCGACGGTTCCTTCAAGATGCAAAATACATGTTAGATGTGTGATGTTCCCACCTGGGTCCCTACTTATTTCCTTCACTATGACATTCCCAATCCATTTAGCTAATTTACTCATCTACTAAGATGGATATGGCATCAGCTTGGTCTATCCATATCCTCCTTGTGTATGTTGTAGCTTTCTCTCCAGAACCTTCATATTTCTTATGGCTAGGAATGATATGAACAAATGGTTCAGCAGCACCATTGGTAAGTGTCAGAAGCATCAAGGGTCAGAAGCACACGTCTCTCTTCAATTGGAACAATGTGTCTAGGATACACAGGATAAATAATCTTCTTATTTATAGTCCAAAGTTTGTCGCATTCCATGAGATTGAGATTTTTCAAAGCCCCCTGGAAAAAGAAAAAGGACAAGGAAATTAGTATTCGTATTAAACAAACTATAATCATCTACCAGCATAACATTAATATATAACAGAAATTTCTTTACCTGTTCAAGTATAAACTGTGTCAAAGCCTCAACTTTCAGACCCCTTCGCATAATTCTGATAGAACACCAAGTACCCAATTGAATTCTGGAGGGGGTATTGAGGCCATTAAGAAGGTTGTCACACAAGTGTACGTGGTGAGGAAGAAAGGGAACAATTAGATCAAGTGCTAAGCTTGCATCAAGTGGTGAGCTAGGGGTTGTTACCAGAATGAGCCACGTGGCACCATCAAACGGGAATAGTTTGTTAGGACAACTGGGCTGGGAGGAATAAATTGTGGGAACTTTTGTAATGGGATAAAGAATGATTAGTGGTGTATTACTGGGAGGTTCCTAACACCTCGAATGGCTAGAGTTATCTTTTTGCTTTAACTTTTCTTTCG